TGTGTCTTATATGCCGGAGCGTCTTATATGCCGAAAAATACGGTAGTTCCAACTATCATAGACCTAGTGATTCAACAGATGAATGGTAAATCATCCCCAGTGATGCATGTAGGCATCTAACTAACATCTCCAATTGTTTTTCTCCTGTTTGGTTTGTAACATCTTGCATGATGAAGAAGCCCATGGAGCTTTGAAAGCTTGCAACAAGTATATTATGCATTTTGGTTGGCCAATAAGGGTATCACTGATGGATTTTTGTTTGAATTTGCTAAATGGCCAACATAGTTACCCTTGCATGTCTTCTGTATTGCGAGATGCCACATTGTAGCTGAAAGAGGGGAATCAGGAAGAATAGCCTGTGGACTGAGAACTTCAATCAAGGTAAAACAATTTTTTCTTCTTAAATTTGGACTGAATTCATATGTTTTACCTCTACATCCATTAAAATATTCCTGATGCAAATACATGGAGACTTCTTGAGAAATCCATTGTTCTCTGCCACAAAGAGGCCTGTGACCTCACTGGAATGGAGACATGTTGGATTGCAAAAGAGGGGTCCCTGTTGAGATGCAAATGGATTTCAAATTTCCTGGACTTTGCAAATCTCCCTATAGCCACAGGGCCAGAAGGAGGAGGAGCCTGCCTGCAAAAGATATCATCCCCACTATATACCATCTTAACTAAAGACTGAAACAACATGTAGGCATCTGACGAACATCTCCAATTGTTTTTCTCCTGTTTGTAACATCTTGCCGGATGAAGAAACCCATGGAGCTTTGAAAGCTTGCAACAAGTATATTGTGCATTTTGATTGGCCAATAAAGGTATCACTGATAGATTTTTGTTTGAATTTGCTAATGGCCAAAACAGCTATCCCTGAATGTTTCCCCATTGATTCAGTATGTCTACTCTGTTTGGGACTATCAACAGCATTTACTCCATGGTACATAATCATTAGTAATATTGTACACTTTGATGTTGTTACTTGATGGAATACTGGAAAGATATGAAATATAAACAAAACTGGAATTTTAGTCCTCTGAGCAGCATGGTGTAGTGGTTTGAACATTGGACCATGACTCTGGAAATCAGGGTTCAATACCCTGTTTGGTTATGGAAACCTTCTGTGACACTTTGGGCAAATTGCACACTCTCAGCTCAGAAAACACCATGATAGATTTCACTATAAGTTGGGAACAACTTGAAGGCACACAACAACACAACAAAACTGGGCAGATGTCAAGAGGCCTCAAGTCCAGAGAGGGCCCTCATGCCAACTCCCCTTGCCCACTGTTTGCTCTCTCTAAACACTGTTTTCTGTTGCCCCCTCCACCACTGCCACCATCATCTATACCCGCACCTTTCCCCCCAAATTAGGACTCTGTGCTTACTTACCCAATGTACACGTCCTTCCTTCCCTCTTCCTTCTACTTTTTCTTCCTTCCATTCTTTTAACTTTAGTCTTAGTCAGTCTAAACATGCTGCAAAGGAAACTAGACTTTCACTTGGAATCTTCCAATTCACCAGGTGATTCCCTCTCCCCCTGCCATCACTACCCCACAAACAGGATGCCCCAAATGGGCTCAGAGGCACACCAAGGAAAATCATGTGCACAACCGTAGCTTCACCTTACAGCACACCTGAACTCTGCTAAGTCAAAAAGAAGAAGAAGAAGGAAGGAAGGCAGGGAGATGCTGGTAAGAGATGGGAAAAGCAAAGATAGGATGATGGGGAAGAAACAGGAAACAACTGGATGAGGAGGCAGAGAAACTTGGAGAGAGGGAACTACCCTGGGAATGGTTTTTTGGGGGGGAGAAAACTGGGGTTACCATCCAGGAGTGTGTGGAGATTTTTCAAAAGAAATGTTTCTAGATCCTCCTTAATGTTGGCAGTGCCAGCAGTACTGTCAGCTTCACTCAGGTCATATATATCTTTAATATGTGTCATTGTCATGCAGTTTATTGTTTTCCAGTTTATTGTGTGCCTTCAAGTTGTTTCTGACTTCTGGTGACCCTAAGGCAAACCTATCACCGCGCTTTCTGAGGCTGAGAGTGTGTGGCTTGCTCCAGGATACCCAATGGGTTTCCCTGGCTGAGCAGAGAGTTGAACACTAGTCTCCAGAATCACACTCCAGCGCTCAAACCACTACACCACACCGGCTCCTATCTACAGATAAGTCCATGAGTTTGCATTTTAGTACCTCAAAACTGAATAGAGCCAGGGTATGTTGATGGGGAGGTTGTTTGTGAACACCATGCAGAGAGAAATGTGAATTAACTTCATGAATGTAAATTAAAATTACACTATTTTTAAACAAGGGGAAAAACTGAATAGAGCCACTGTCTGGCTTCACAAAAGCCCACTCATGGTTAGCCCAAGCTTTTGCTATTTCAGCAGAATAATTTACAGCAGGGTGGAAGAAAATTACATTCTTGCTAGTACTGCTGAACAATTGGGATTCAGAAATCCTTGCCAATTTACTGCAAATCACCCAGGGATCTACCTATATATACTGTTGCGACATACACGGGCCTGGTACTCTAAAACAAGGACTGTCCTTGACTGAGCTTGTAATAATGATGTTCAGACACTGAAAATAGAATAGGCAACACTCTGTTTCTTGCAGGGATTACTTTTCTGTACTACAGAAAAACTGTTTGCAATTAGACATGCCAAATTTCAAAGCGTGAACGGGAGTCTCCAGTTTTTATGTAACATCTCCAGGTGGGAGGAAAGAGTGCAAATTATCCAGTTTTGGTGGGCTCTACTCTGAGCAAGTGAAAGGGCCATGTGAAAATCTCCAACTCAGCTCACAGCTTTCTACAGTTTTCAAAGCCTTAATTGATTTGTTACTGCAACGGCTATGCATTCAATTGGTTAGCTTCCTCTGTCCCTCCCAGTCATTGTAGTGCAACAACTCACCTTCCACTCTGCTCTGCATCCACTGCTTGGCTAAAAGCGAGCATCATAGAATCACAGAGTTGGAAAGGGCCTCATGGACCATCTATTCCAATCCTCTGCTCAGTGGAGGATCTCCAGAGAAAGCATCCCCAGCAGGTAGCTGTCCAACCTCTTTCTGAAGATGTCCAAAGAAGGAGAACCCACCACCCCTGCAGGCAATTTCCAAACCACTCTTACTGTCGAGAAGTTCCTTCTAACGTTCAACTGAAATTTACTAACTTCAGACCATTAGATCTGGTCTTCACCTCTGGGGAAGCAGAAAACAGGCCTACCCCCTCCTTACTGTGACAGCCCTTGACGTATTTAAAGAGCGCCATCATGTCACTCCTTAGTCTTCTCTTCAGCAAGCTGAACATGACCAGCTCCTTCAACCTTTCCTCTTATCTTTTGTTCTTCATATCTCTTATCATCCTTGTTGCCCTTCTCTGAACCTGCTCCAGCTTGTTTATACCCATCTTAAAATGAGGTGCCCAGAACTGAACATGGTACTCCAAATGAAGACAAGCAGAGACTATAGTAAGACTATTACTTCCCCAACTTGAAAACTATGCTTCTATTAATGTAGGCTAAAATGGCATTCATGTTCTTTGCTGCAGCATCACACTGCTGCCCCATGTTCAATGTATGATCAACAATAATCCCAAGGTCATATTCACATATAGTACTGCTAAGCCATGTATGCCCCATCCTATACATGTACATTTGGATTTTGTCCAAATGTACAACCTTCCAGGGATATTTCAGGCTTGAGTTGTTCAAGGATCCATTTGTTTGTGTTTTTGGCCATCCACAGTATTATTATTATTATTATTATTATTATTATTATTATTATTATTAGCTTTATTTATTAAGCGCCGTAGATGTTCAGTATCCTCAACACTCTTCTCCAGCACCATATCTCAAATGAGTTTTCTTTTTATTGCTTTTTTCACTGTCCATCTCTCACATCCATACATAGTGACGGAGAATATCATGGCTTAGAGCAGCGGTAGGCAACCTTTCCCCTTTAAGGGCCGAGGGACTTCATCTCCCATAATCGCAGGAGCTATTGGCCAACATGGGATTATTGGCCAACATGGCTGAGGCTTCTGGGAGCTGAAGTCCCTCGGCCCTTAAAGGGGACAGGTTGCCTACCCCTGGCTTAGAGTATTCTAACTTTAGTGCTCAATTGTATAACTTTGCTCTTTAATATCTTATCTAGTCCTTTCATTGCTGCCCTTTTCATTCCCAATCTTCTTCTTATTTCTTAACTGCAGTCTCTGTTCTGGTCAATGTTTGATCCAAGGTACAAGAAATCTTTAACTATTTCAATTTTCTCATTATCTGGGTTGAATTGATATACGGTAGGTCCTCCATGGTAATTATTTTTATTTTCTTTATGTTCAGCAATAAGCCTGTCTTTGCACTTTCTTCCTTGACTTTCCTTAGCAATTGTTCCAAGTTTGTGCTGTTTTCCACTAATAATATGGTGTCATCTCCAAGGGAGTTGATGTTCCTTCCTCCTATCTTCTTTCTTCTGAGTCCAAACCTGCTCTTCATATGATATTTCTGTCTACAGTTTGAACAGGCAGGGTGATGGAATGAAGCCTTGCCTGACCTCTTTGCCAATTAGGAACAACCACCCGTGAATCAGGAAAATTGCAAATATCCAAGCCTCACTGATTTCAATGGCAGCACGCATGCCATTTTGTCCCTCCCTGCTTGCTGTCCGTAAAGGACCAAGACCATGGACTCCAAATCTGTGAACGGGAAGGGATGAATGTATTCTGAACTGGCAACCCTATTTGCTGTCTAAATGTTTGTAGTCTGAAAAAGCCTGAACATTTCCAGTTTCTTGCATAGCTATAATTTGAACTGTATAATTGTCAGTGGGAACAATTTTCTAAATATATAGGTAGAAGATACAAAGGCACCCTGATTCCAGCAGAGCAGGTTACTTTTGTCATGGAGCAATACTCAGGGGAATTTATTTGCAGTACATCTGGCTTGCAGTTCACATGTTTCAAACAGTGCGGTGTTATGTTAATATTTAGCTACATTATTGGAAGGAGAGAGAAGGGTTTATATAAAAAGCAAAATTTTGGAAGATCTGGCAAAGACTGCTAACAAAAACAATTTAAACCACAAGGGTTTGCAGAAGAAGAAAGGACTGGTTTAGAGATAATGGTCTTAGTTTAATAAACTATGGTTAATTAAGCTGAGAGAGAGCATTATGATTGTGCAGCCTCTGGGATGCAAAAATGTTATCTGTTCCCCATTTCACAGTCTGGTTACTATGATTACAGACGTCAAACCCTAGGATACTGTGGTTTAACAGAATCATCAGATCTGGTGTACCAGGGTGAATCTACACTGTAGAAATAATGCAGTTTGACACCAATTTAAGTGCTGTAGTTCTATCCTACAGAATCCTGTGACTCTGCCAGAGTGTGCTGGTGTGCCACAAGACTACAAATCCCAGAATTTTGTAGGGTAGAACTAGAGCACTTAAAGTGGTGTCAAATTACATTATTTCTACAGTGTAGATGCAACCTGAGTAAGAAGGGAAGTCTATACCACAATGATAATCTTGGCTTAATAAACTATGGTTTAAAGTTAAGTCATTCTGTCTGTACTGACCCAATTTTCTCAGTTCATTGTGGCAAAATGATATTTAGGAGGTACTAACATTTTCATAGAGAATTCATGATTCATTCATAGTTGAGGACTGTAAAACCAATATTATTTCAATGACATTTAATTATTTCTGAGATGATGCTTGTAGTTTTGAGGTGGTGCAGGAATGGGCCCCACCATCAAAATACTTATTTTCCTTCAAGATATCAGTCCGAAGAACTAATCTGTTTGCCTTCAGATATTGGACAGACAATGGCAGTAAGTAATGATCCTAAATAAATATATTATTTAGAGTTGCTTTGCTGCTAATCTCATCTGACAACTTTAGTTTGGGTTAACACAAACTGAACAGAGAAAAGGCTTCCACTGTCCTAGGAGTTTTGCTTTTAGTTTTTCTAGATCCAAAGAGCAGCACTATTATTTTTGAGCGTCCAAAGGAGTTTGGACTTGTGGCTAGAACAGGAACTGTCATTTCGACACAACATTACATGACAAATCTGTTCAAAATTGTAGGGATCAGCCATCCACATGAAAAGTATAATAATTAAACATTGATCTATTAAATATTCCCAAGTAACCAGGTGCACTTCAAATAGGTCTTTGGATCCTGACAGAGAGTCGCGAGGGCAAACCAGTCCTTGGTACTTGATACCAGCCTCCCTTCAAATATTATTTAAGGCATCATGGCTCTCATTGCCTAGTGACTCTGTTGAAATAACCATTGTACCTCAGAGATAATAGTAGGTTTTCCACATTCAACAGAGCAAAATGTGAAATGTCAGGGGGGAAAAATAAGAAAAATTCAGGGGGGAAGAAGAATTAACCATTTTTAAAAAATGAAGTATGGAATATTTTTAACAACACATTTAAGACAAGGTGTTCATATATTTAGTGACCTAAAATCATTTCTAAAAACTATGCGAAAGGAATACTTTCATTTAAGACTATGTACAGTATCAGATTATTACAATTTCTGGGCTTAATTTCCCTTATATTTTTGAGAATAAGTATATTATGTCTGCTTGACACTATGGAGAACTAGTGGAGATGAAACAATTTTCTTTTCTTCTTATTAATATTGATGGTTTCTTAAGCTTTTATTGTTGTTTTCAAAATCAAAGAACTTCCATATTCCTTACACTTCAGGAACATGTCGCATAAATAAATAAATAAATAAATAAACGTTCAATTTGTAATTACATCTTGAAAAATTTGTACTTTTAATATATCAAACATTAATATATAATTCATGTATATACAATGCATTCATATATATAATGCATTTCATGTTTCTAAAGTAACAAAGTAACTTCCATTCTGTAAAGCATATTAAAATACAGGTTGAAGCTTCCTTATCTGGAATGCTTGGGATTACCACTCTAGGATCTACATCAGAATTTTTTGATTCTGATGGGGGGGGGAATTTTGGAATATTTGCATATACATAATGAGATATCTTGGAGATGGGACACAGGCCTAAACAGGAAAATCATTTATGTTTCCTATACACATATCTTGAATTTTATACATAATATTTTATACATAATATTTTTAATAATATTGTGCATGAAATTTTTGTACAC